GCCCCGCGCCCCGCGCGATGCGGCGCGGCCGCGGCGCTCGGCCCTGGTGCTCGGCGGCGGTGGCCGCGGCGCCCTGGCCGCCCGTGGCCGTCCCCCGGCCGCCGCGCGCTGCCTCTGCCCCGGCCTGCTCCGCCGCGGACACCAGCTCGCACCAGTCGGGCCGCGCGGCCGCGGCCCGCGCGCGCTGGCCCATGGGGCCTCCGCCGTCGCCCTCCGAGCACGTCGCGGCCCGCCCGGAGCTGCTGCGGGCGCCGAGGCTCCGCACCCTCCAGGAGCTCGCCGAGGAGCCCCCCGCGCTCGCGGCCGACGCGCGGCTGCTGCGCGGCCCGCGGGCGCTGGCGCAGCGCTCGCCCAGGCCGCCCAAGCTGCCGGAGCGGCCGCTGGCGGCGCTGCCCGCGTCGCTGCCGCAGCCGCGGCTGCTCGCGCGCCAGCCCGGCGCGATGCTGCTGAGCGACCGCTCGTGCGCCCACAGGCTGGAGGGCGTCAGCGCTGAGCTTGGTGGTCTCCAAACCAGGTGGTGAGACACCCGGTGGTGACCCCGATTCCCCCCCAACAAAATCTGGGTCACCACCGGGTTTGGGGACACGCGGTCGCCACGAGGTTTTGCGTTTCCTGGGCCAGCCAGCGCTCGAAAACCATTACCCAAATCGCCCAAAACTCACCACCGGGTGTTCTCACCACCACGTTTGGGGACCACCAATGAGCCCGCGCAGCGCGGGGGCGGCCGGAAGGGCTGCGCGGCGGAGCGCGGCGACGCCCACGCCGCGGGGGCCGCGCAGGAGGCCGCCGACCGCCGGACGCTCGGGGTCGGCGACCCGTGGCCCGCGCAGCCATCACGCTGGCCGCGCTCTGGCGCGGGCCACCTCGCCCCAGTCTCGCCGGCGGTCGCCGTGGAGCCGACGCTCGTTGACGCCGACGCAGGCGGCGCGGCGCCCCGCGCGCCGCCCGCCGCCGAGTACGGCTTCACCTCCACCTCGGCGCTCCGCGAGGCGTCGCCTCGGATGCGCCGCCGCCACCCGTGGCCGTTGCGGCGGTCGTCGCCGCAAGCGGCGCTGCACAGCAGCACCGTCTGCAGCTCCACCGTGCCGCGGGCCGCTGCCGCGGGCGCCTGGGCCGGCGTGCCTCTGCGGCTGGGCACCCCGGCGGCGGGCACGAGTTCCCGCGCAAGCAGCGCCAGCGAGCCCTCGGCGGAGCCCGCAAGCCCAGCTGGCATGCTTCCGAAGCCCGCGCTCGCGCGCCCACCGGTGCCGCGCGCCCAGCGCGCTCTCGCGAGCGCTCGGGCCTGGCCGCTGGCGCCTGAGCCAAAGCAGCTGCCCTGAGACCCAAGCGGAACACATTTTTCAACGGCGCGCGCTTCCCCCCAGTGTCGGGCCCCTGGACCATGACATATTCATCGGCCGTCGGAGATTGCAAAACAAATATCTGCTCTGGGGCGCCGGTCATGATTTTCCACGATGCGTGGACTTTTGCGCGACGTCGGATTTCAGGGAAAGGCACAGCCCAAACCAAACCTGTCAATCCGAGCGACGACCAGCAAGGAAGCTGGAAGCACACACGACTGGCCCTTCTCACGGGCGCGCAACGGATGCTCGACGTCAGCATTGGCCTGGGGCCCCTCCAGGGCCCCCAAACGGGCTGAAATCGGAGCGGCGCCGCACAGACGCCGACCCTAGACCCCCGGCGTCTTGATTTGTTCATGGCGTGGACCCCTCAAACTCTTGACCCGGGACCCGGTTTTCCATCCCGAGTCCTTCTTGTGGACGGGTCCAGCCCAGTGAGGGCCACCAAAGGCCCAACATACCAAGGAAAATAAACCGCAGATAATGTTTTCCCACGACGCGTAGGGGTCTGGGATGACGACGTCCCCGATATGTGGGCGGCGCGCCTGGGGGGGAGTGAGAAGGCGCGGGCCTTCTCAAAAGGGTCAGGAGTTCCCCGAAGACACAGAAAACTTGTCAGACGGCCACGGGGCTTCTGAGAAGCCCCGCTGCCTTTTGAGAAGGTCTCGTCCTCCTCACTTCCCCCCTCGTCGTCTCTCCTTGCCTCCGCTCTCCTCCGCTGTGGCTGCAGCAGCGCTGGCAAGTGTTGTTGACTCAGGTGGTAAAAAGCCACCCGGCGAAGTGGGTGCTGCAACCCAAGTCTACCGAGCCCCAGCCCGAACCAGGAACCGTTGTCCCCACGTTCCCCGAAACCGGTCCCGAAAGGATTGAGAACTGAACAGCGTTTCCCCCCGTCGATGGCGGCCAGCGCCCACGTGCGGATGGACACGCGTGCCGCGCATGCGGAGGCCCCGTGCCGGAAGCGCGTGCGGAGGGCCGAGGACGGCCGCCCGGAGGAGAAGGTTCGTGGCCCCCGCGTGTGCGCCCAGCGGTCGCCCAGGCTGGCCAGCGCGTCCAGAGCTACAATAGGGGCCCAACCACAAGAAACCTTCTACAGGAAACAGGCCTCTGAGACCCCAGGACGCGCACCGACCCCCGGAGTGGGAACGCCACGCACGCCATACTAAAACCACCGACGCCCAAAAAACCCAGGGCACCCTGGAGGCAAGCAGGGTGTTTCTTGGCAGGGGGGTCCATTGCACAGCATCCCCGAAGACTCCAGATTCGGTGGCGGAAGATTGGGGTGCTGAGGGACGGGGCCCTGAGAATCGAAAGGGGGTCAAGGGTGGATTGTGCCATTGCTTGAACCACTGGCAGCTGCGTGGGCGTCTCACCTAAGAGGCTTTCCAGATCGGGCCCGAGCGGGAGGGGTCGGGCGACCGCGCCGCATCGCCGACACATCGACGATGCATTGGCGATGCACTGGCGATGCATTGGTGACGTCGGCGGCCTGTGAGCAAGGACAACATCGGGCCCCACATCGACCCCCATGGACGACGCATCGGCGATGCGGCGCGATCCTCCGACCCCATATGTTCGGGCCCCCTTCGGAAGCGTCATAAGCAACCGAAATCTATACACCGACTTTTTTCTTGGCCCAAGAATGCAACTCTCACAAGAAAGCGGCTCCCGGTGTATACGGGATCCTGGTTCCGTTGTCTCCCGGGGAACAACTTACCCTGCGCCGTAACCCACCTATCGGCACCAAGAGCTCATATAGGCCGCGCCGACGATAGTGTGACAGCTACACTGCAAGAGACGGCGCACGGCGGATATCTGTACCGTGCGAAGTGTGCGTGGCCGACTCGCAGAACAGAGGTACAATCAGCAGGGAACGTTGTACTGGAGAAGAAAAGCAACATGATGACATCGGTGCGGAAGAACAATCATCCTGGCAGAAGCAACGAGATGATAGAGCATGGGCAAGATATGGCTACGTCAGCAACCCTCCTCCTGCTCCTCCTCCTTCTCCTCCTCCTCCTCACCCTCCTGTCCTCCTCCTCCTCCTCCTCCTCCTCCTCCTCCTCTTCTTTCTCCGCCTCCGCCTCCTCCTCCTCCTCCGCCTCCTCCTGCTCCTCCTCCTCCTCCTCCTCCTCCTCCTCCTGCTCCTCCTCCTCCTCCTCCTCCTCCTCCTCCTCCTCCTCCTCCTCCTCCTCCTCCTCCACTTCCTCCTCCTCCTCCTCCTCCTCCCTCCTCCTCCTCCTCCTCCTCCTCCTCCTCCTCCTCCTCCTGCTTCTCCTTCTCCTCCTCCTCCTCCTCCTCCTCCTCCTCCTCCTCCTCAGCCTCTCCGTCCTCCTCCTGTTCCTGCTCCTCCTGCTTCTCCTTCTCCTCCTCCTCCTCCTCCTCCTCCTCCTTCTCCTCCTCCTCCTCCTCCTCCTCCTCCTCCTGTCCTCCTCCTCCTGCTCCTCCTCCTCCTCCTCCTCCGCCTCCTCCTCCTCCTCCTCTCTTCTTTCTCCGTCTCCGCCTCCTCCTCCCCCTCATCCTCATCCTTCTCCTTCTCCCTCCTCCTCCTCCTCCTCCTCCTCCTCCTCCTCCTCCTCCTCCTCCTCCTCCTCCTCCTCCTCCCCCTTCTCCTCGTCTTTCTCCGCCTCCTCCTCCTCCTTCTTCGTCCCTCCTCCTGCCCCTCCTCCTCGTCGTCCTCCTCCTCGCTGCGCCCGTGGGCCTCTCTGGCTTTTCCTGGGCTGCTCGCGGCAGCTGGCTCCGGGAGCCCTGCCCTGCGTGGTCCCCGGACCGCCATCGCGCTGTGACGCAAGATATCACGCCGGGAAGTTGTTCGCGCAATCTTCGGCCCCGGGGGGCCCTTCCGGGGCTTCGGAGCCGTCATCGAAACGACTCGGGAGGAGAAACCGGTCCCGTGGAAGGGGTCGAGATCTCTGGGGGTCGACGTTATGAAAAAACCACGCCGTCGGCGGTCTGAGTTGGAGGCCTGGAGACGGGCACCAACACCAACTCGGGGTTGAATGCTCGTTCCGGGGGCCATCCTGGAGACACTCGCTCCACTCTTACGTCGAAGCTGCGCGAACGTCCGTCGCTTTGAGTGGACCCTGAGTCAAACCTGAATCGAACCTGAGTCGAACTTGAGTCGAACTTGAGACGAACTCGGGTCGAACTAGAGTCGAACAGAACCGTTGGGTGGACTCCAGGAAGGCCCCTCAAACGAGCATCTAAACAGGGGGGTGGCCTCCGCAGGAGTACGATGATCCTAGATGTTGGTGTTGGTGGTGCTAGCTCGGCCACCCTGGAAGCCCGCATACTGCAACCATGACCGAGATCGGGAGCATCTCCGATCGGTGAATGCACTCTGCCGATCCTGGTGCTGAGCTATCAACCTCTGGTCCTCCGATGTGTGGCCACTCCTCTGGCAAGGCCCGCCATAATCGGATCGGGAAGATGGACCGAGTCGGGACGTGCAACGGATCGGGGTGCATCGGCACGGAGTCGGAACCGAAGTGGATCGGCTGCGCCAGGATGCACAGCGGCGCCATACTGGCATCGGGCCCCATCGAATCGTCGGAACATCGGAATGGGATCGGACCGAGCCGACCAGAACCGATGTCGAATCGGATCGGGCGGATCAAGATGGACCCTGTCAGGCCGCCAGCTCTGTTCTCCCCAGGCCGCCCCGTCCTCTTCTGCTTGACGAGGGCCGCGAGGAGCCTGCGCAGGGACCGCGGGCGCTCTTCGTCCAGCGCCTGCGCGGGAGCCCTGCCATCGCTCGGACAACCGCTCCCCGTGGATGCTTCGGTCTCGTGCGCGCACTCTTTTCGCAAGATGGCCCAGGGTGCTCCTCGAGGGTCCCCGCCAAGGTGCAAGCGCACACGGCCGAGCGATGCCGAGGCGGGGGCAGGCCCTCGGCCCTCGGCCCTCTCGGCCGAGGAGGTGTCAGAGGCCTCCTGGATGGGGTCGGAATAAAAAAGGGGGTCGGAGGATCGCGCCGTGTCGCCGCTAGACCAGCGACACGCCGGCGACGCATCGACGATGCATCGGCGATGCGCCGGAGATGCATCGTCGACGTCGGTGATACATCGGCGACGAAGACGTGCAGCAGAGCGGGCTGCACATCGAGCCGCATTGGCGATGCATCGGCGATGCGGCGCGATCCTCCGACCCCATCTACTCCGACCCCATCTTGGAGGCCTAGAGTTAGGTCGGGCGTGTCCCCCTACATTGGGAGTGCAAAAAAAAACATACATTTGAAACATTCAAAGTATACCTAAACAGTTTTGTTTAACCAATCGTCCCCAGATGTTCGTTAAAACTATTTTTGGACATTCCTCCTGTAGAGGGGCGTGTCCGACCTAAGCCTAGAGATGTGGGGCCCAGATCGCCTGCGCCGGGGCTCCCTCTCCCAGGCCCGGTCGGCGCCTGGGCCGGTGCGGCGTTGGGATCCGCCCGTGGGCCGTCGGGAGAGAGAGCCGCCGATCGGCCATTGGCACAGATAGGGGGCCACATGCGAACCCTACCCCTACCACGATTTCCGAGGGGGAGGGTGGGGTTCACTTCGCTCGGGAGCTCCCGAACGAAGTGAACCCCACCCCCCCCTTCAGGAACCGTGGGGGGTAGGGGTAGGGTTCGCATTTGGCCCCCTAACCGACCTGGCAGACGTGCTGCAGCGGACTTTGGCGTTGATTGAGGGCCCTATTTTCCACCACCACCACCACCATAAACCGGAGGGGGGGAGGAGGCTGACGTGGAGGATGAGGAGGAGGAAGAAGAAGAGGAGGACCCCCTCCCCCTCCTACTTCTGGTGCTGGCGGTGGAGAAAAGGCCCACCATGGATTCCTGTGAATGCAAAACTGCGAAACAGGGGGCGAGGAACGACGTGAATTTCACGTGGTCTTTTGTTGTCCTCATTTGGGCAAAAAGAAATCCGCACGAAATTCACTTCGGCATCCGAAACGAGACTCTTCAGCACAATCCGGGCCCATCCCATCGTGTTCTGTGCGAGATCCGCTCTGCGATTCGGCGCCACGAGAACGGGCTCAGGGCCGACCAGCTCCGTGGGAATCTGGAGTGACAGCAGGACGACAAAAGCGTGCACTGCTGACGGTCCGCGCGGACGTCTGGGACCTCCGCCAGACCCCTTTCCCTGGCGCGCGCGCGCGGAGCGCGCCAGGGGCGCCGCAAGGGGGGCCCCAGCGCAGATCCGGGAAATCCGCGCGGACCTCCGACCGGTCTGTTTGTACCTTTTGTCCCGGGGAAGAAGAAACATTCGTCTGCGAGACCCCTTTCCCTTCACGGCGGAGGCGAGGGGTGGGAGGAGGAAAGGGGAGGGAGTGCTACACTCCCTTCTCCCCTTGGGCCGGTGCTTCAAGATGGAGCTCCCGCTGCGCCAGAGAGAGTTCAGTAGAAGATGATGAAGAAGAAAAAAAATTATGAGAAGAAACGCAATAAACCTAAACGCTTGGCGTTCCGCTTGGATTTGTTTGATCTGCGCTGGAGCCCCCTTGCTGGCGTTCGGAGCGCGCCAGGGGCGGCGCCGGAGGACGCGCCCGAGGCGCCGCCGGTAGGGCCCATGCGACGATCCAAGACGTCCGCACGGAACGCCAAACGTGTATGTTTATGGCGTTTCGCCTTCTTCCAGTTGAGGTTCCTCGCGGACCGGCCGGAGCTTGTGTTCGTGCAGTGTGTGGTTCCTCGGGGCTGAAGCGCGCGAAGGCCGCCGGGCGGGCTCCATCCCGAGACCCCTCGGCTGCCGAGGGGGCTCCTTGCCGTGGCTAGGGCGTTCATTCCCCTGTGCGTTGGTTGTTCGGGTTTGGGCGCATCTTTGCTCGCAAGGTGAGCTGAGAGATGCTCCTCGATGGTCATTGCACCGGCCTTGCAGACGTGCTGCAGCAGATTTCTGCGTGGATTTCGGAGTGGATTTTTGCCCGAACCGCCGAGCGAAAAACGAAGTGAATTTCGCGTGGATTCTTGTTGGTCTTCACTCCTGGCCAAAAACATCCGACGAAATTCACCTCGAAATCCGGAGCCAAATTCTCCAGGACACTCCGGGCCCACCCTATCGTTTTCCGAACGAACTCCGCTCTGCGATGTTCGCGCCATGACGGTGGCCCTCGCAAGGAGAGCTGCACACGTCCGAGCGATGCCAAATGGTCTCGGAAGAGGACGCCCTTGGCTGAGCTGGCGCCTCTCGCCGCGCGTCTGCGGTCGGGACCTGTTCTGAACGCGTCGCGGCGGCGGCCCCGACGACACGCCTGTCCTGGCGAGCGTGCAGCGTGTCGCTCCGCATCTGCGCGGCGGGCGGCTCGGGAAAGCTCGGGACGCTGAAGCCTGGGGGCCGGGAAGGGGACGGCCAGTCGCGCAGAAGTGTGGCACAGCGGAGGCCACTCCGCAGGAAAAAACAAACCACAAACAACCCGACCCTGCGACCCCAGGACGACCATTGGTTTTTGGTGTGGGAACGTCGCGCCTTCCACAGCAAAGCCGCCGAGACTCCAGAAATCCAGGGCACCCTGGAGGTAAGCAGGGTGTCTCTTGGCATGGGCCTCCACTGTAGGCCACAGTCGGCGGCGCGACACGCTATCCCAAAATTCCCGACCGCACCTTCGCACTGGTGGTCCAAGCTATCTTCAAGACAGCCTCAGGGTGGTCCAAGATAGCTGAGCATGGCTCAGGGTAGCCTCCGACAGACTCTGGCCGAGCATGGCCCAGGATAGCCTCCATGAGGCCTCGAGAAAAGCCTCTGGTCGTGTCTGGACGGGCTGGTGGGGATACTTCTTGGTACACGGGCGCGCGAAGACGAGTCGAACGCCGTGCAAGCTAGGGCGGGCCGCGCCGAAGCAAAAGGGGAAGCAGCGAAACGACCGGCGCCCGTCCCAGGGCGGAACAGGGCTCAACGCGGCCAAAATGGCGCGGGAGCCATCGCAAAACAGCATCGTCGTCACGCTGGCGTGGATACTTTTTTGGTCAACGGCCGCGGGCGGAAGCGCCGGCGGCGTGTCAAGTCGAAGCGGGCACGCGCCATAGACTGATTAACAGCAGAAAGCTGGGGCACAGTTCTACCAGTGCGCATGCAAGAGGCCGAGGCGGAAAAGGCAAGAGAAACACGGGAAAACCAACAGAACGACGGGCTGGCGGGGATACTTTTTTTGGCCGGCGGCTCCGAGGCGGCGGACAGGGAGCGGTAGGCGTCGTCTGGGCCAGCAGGCGAGGCTGATTCGTCCGCTGGCGGGGATACTCGAAGCGTCAGGAATTCCCAGCCGTATTTCCGCGCTCTCGCGCCGCCGCGAGGACAGGGGCGTCTCTCGTGGCGACCGCCGCCCTGGCGCCTGCGCGAGCCGGGGGGCCCAGCACTGCAGCGCCGCACCGTGCCCCTTCTGTCGCGACGCCGGCTCTGCAGAGGCCTCGACCGCCTCCCCGCGGAAAGCGTTGCTCCATTTCGGCCGCAGCTGACTTCGTCCACTCCGCTTCGCCCGCAGGTCATTTCGCCCGCTCCGATCCGCCCCCTTCGACCCTGACCTTCCAGAGAGCTATTTTTTAGCACTGGAGACCTAAAAACCTAAAAAACGAGACGAAACAGCCTAAAACCAAGACGTAGAATAGCTCTGGGATAGGTTTTTAAGTCGCGTGCTATTTTTTAGCCCTCCTGAAGGTCAGGGGATTCGTCCGGGGAAGCGACAGAGGCGAAAGAGGACGCAACGCCGGCGGACGAAGGGAACGCCCACCTCCCCGGGGTCGGCTCTCCGCCCCGAGCCGCCTCTTGGGAGCCCCTGGACCTGGCGAGAGGGCCCCGGTGGCCCAGGTAAAACAGGGCTATAGGATCGGGATAAATCGCTCCAGAGCGTTCCGGAGCGCTCTCAGAGCGTCCCGGAACGCTCTGGAGCGGCCGCGGCGCCCAATACATCCTCCAAACCCGCCGAGTCTCAGAGACTTCGAGCTATCCCGATCCGATTTTGTCCCGATCTTCGCGTCGTTTTACCAGGAGCCCAGCAAGCCCTCCACCGCGAAACGGCCACGCCGCGCGGAGGCACCACTCCCGCGCCACGGCGGCCTTGGCCGTGGCCGTGGCCGTGGCCGTGGCCGTGGCCTTGGCCGTGGCCGTGGCCGTGGCCGTGACCGTGGCCGTGGCCGTGGCCGTGGCATTGGCCGTGGCTGTGGCCGCCGTGGCCGTGGCCGTGGCCGTGGCCGACTCTCCGGCGGCACTTCGCGACGACACGGGCCTCCGCCCCGACCGCCCTCCCCGGCCAGGCCTCCGACGCCGCGGCTGTTCACGGCGTCGACCCCCAGAGGTCTCGACGCCTCCCCCGGCGACGGGGCGCTCCTCCCGAGTCGTTTTGTCCGACGGCCCCGCGGGGCCCGGGAAGGGCGCCCGGAGGCCAGCAATGCCGACCATACACCTCCCCTGACCTTCCAGGAGGGCTAAAAAATAGCACGCGACTTCAAAAACCTATCCCAGAGCTATTCAACGTCTTGGTTTTAGGCTGTTTCGTATCGTTGTTCAAGTTTTCTAGGTCTCCAGTGCTTACAAATAGCTCCCGGGAAGGTCAGGGTCCCGTCGCGACTTGTCTCACGACGCGAGGGGGTCCGGGCCGGCGAGGCGCAGCTGCCAGAAAGAAGCCTCCCGAGACGAGGGAGCACCGCCTCCGCGAGGCAGAGGCCACCGACGCGCCCCCGCGCCGCCCCCCAGCGGACAGGGAGAGGGCTCTGCGGCCCCGCGGGCGCGGTCGTCTCGACGCCCCCTGCGCGTACCAGGAGCCCTGCGACAGCCACGCACCCAGACCCCGCGCCTTGTGAGCACCAGGCACACTTGAGTCGGACGTGTCCCTCTTCAGGAGGAGCATTCAAGATTCGACGGTGACGATGTTGCGTGCTTGTAGTACTATGTTCCCTACCTAGGCTCTGCCTAGAAGGGTTCTTACTCGCTAAGCTTAAAGGGCCGGGCAGTGGGGCTCGCCCCGGGCGGTTCCCCCGCATCCGCCCCGCGGTTCCCTCAATGACGTTCCTTTAGCGTAGGTGTAGATGTAGGTGTAGATGTAGATGTCCCCCAGTGACGTTCCCCCCAGGTGTAGATGTAGGTGTAAATGTAGATGTAGATGAGTCTCGCTGTTGATGTTGATGTGGATGTAGATGCAGGTGCAGATGTTGATGAAGCTTTCGGTTTAGATATGGATGTTGCTTTCCTAGATCCTCCAACACCTAGGTAGGGTCGCACTGGGATCATTTGGCTATGCTTGGAATGTTTTGCTGCTGTTAGCTTTCGTCCAATATCCGCCTACAGCGACGCACGAGAGGCGGACAGCTCCAGATCCGTGCCCTCGCGGAGTGGGCTCTGCGGCGCGATCCCGTGAGTGGGCAATCGCGCGGGTACGATCCGCGCGGGGGGCGCCCCCCCGAAAGGCCGCCCAGCATCCATGGGGCTGCTGCCGAGGAGCCCGGACCGCAAGGCCGTGGATCTGGACATGAGAGCGTGAATTACCTACCCCGCTTTCGCTTCCAGGAAACACCAAGTCATACCACGCGCCTCCTCGTCAAGCGGCCTGACCAGTACAGGCCGTGGTTTGGCATCGCTTGGTATCTCTTGGTATCTCTTGGAAGCGAGGGTGGTCAAAAACGAGGTAGGTTTGTTTTCCCCCTAGGACATGAGTTCCGGACAACGAGAATATGTAGATTGGCGGGGCCTCTTGAGACCCGCCAGGGCTGTCTGCGCCCAGCCCCAAGCCTTACCGGATCTTGCCAGGCGTGATCCCACCAGCCCTCTCGGCCCTGGACCCTGCCCGAGGTTCACCCTGGCCACTCTTCCGGGCGGAGTCCAGCTGAGGACAGGCGCCCCAAATCTGGCGACACGACGAGCGCCGACGTCGTCTGCACGGTCGCCTCCATATCCCGACCCCAGAAGAGCCCGCATCGAGCACACATCGGCGCCTGACTTTCGCCGGAGGCCGGGCATGTTCTCCCACAGGCGGATCCTGGAAGAAAAACATAAAGAAGTCAAACCTACCCGAAGACTGTTCAAAATAGTCCTCTCAACAAAATCGCCCCCAGACTCTGGACCGACTATCTTTGCACACTCCGCCTGCCGAGGCCCCCCGCTGAACTTGGCCTCCGCCGCCCTCCCGGGGGCCCTCGGCCTCCGCCCCCCAACGCCCCGCCCGCGGCGACACTGGCGCGCCGAAAGCCGCCGAGGGCGCCTGCGCCGGGCTCGGCGCCAGAGAGTCGCCTGGCTTGCGCGCGCGCTCGGGCTCGCCCCGCTCGGCGGCCTCACGCGGCCCGACGCCCGCCGCCGCCGCCCCCGCGGCACCCGCCGCCGTCGCCACAGCGGTGGCCGCCGGCGCCGTCGCAGCCGCCGTCGCCGCCTCCGCCGCCTCCACAGCCGCCGCCGCCGCCGCCGTCGCCGACGCCGCCGCCGCAGCGGCCACCGCCGTCGCTGCCGCCGTCGTGTGGCGTACGTCTTGAACCTCTGGGCCTCCCCCTGGGGGGCTTACGGGCGACCTGAGGCTGCGCAGAAGGGGCGGCGCGAGAGGGGCTCCTCTCGCGCGTCGTCGTCGTCGCCGCCGCCGCCGCCGCCGTCGCCGCTCCGCCGACGTCGCCGTCGTCGTCGTCGTCGTCGTCGTCGTCGTCGTCGTCGTCGTCGTCGTCGTCGTCGTCGTCGTCGTTGTCCGCGTCGTCGTCCGCGTCGTCGTCGTCGTCGTCGTGGCCGCCGTGGCCGTGGCCGTGGCCGTGGCCGTCGCGGCCGCCGCCGCCGCCGCCGCCGTCGTCGCCACCGTCATAGCGTTATGGTGGTGGTGGTGGTGGTCGTCGTCGTCGCGCTCGGCGGCCTGTGCAGCCCGCCGACCGCCCTCCCGGAACCGCTTGTGCCACGCCCGCACGGCCGAGGCCGCCGCGTCGATGGCGGCGCGGTCCACCTTCGGAGGGCGCCGGGGAGCCCCGTGCGTGCAGTGCCCGGGGTGGCGGCCCGCCCTCCCTGAAGGGGCCCCACGACACACAAATGAATACACACAAATAAAATTACCCTGGCGACGTACCCAACCCCTGCGCAAACGCGGGGCGCAAATAGCTTTGGACACTTTATAAGGGGGGCGATGACGGAGCGAGGGTTACACCTGTCTGCAGACGGAATTCGGGAGACTCGCAGGACACTGGCTACAGGACCAGGACTAGATAAAGCTGATTACTTACAATCCCTGAGCAACCCTAGTCACTTCGAAAGCGGGGATCTCAGATCGCAGCCCCCCAGGGATGGCGAGGTCTAACTTAAATCCGCCCGTGGCGTCGCTGAGCTGGGCCCCCCAGCAGGCCTCGAAAGTGGCGACAGTTTCACAGATCGCAGCCCCCCAGGGATGGCGAGGTCTAATTTGAATCCGCCCGTGGCGTCACTGTGCTGGGCCCCCCAGCAGGCCTCGAAAGTGGCGACAGTTTCACAGATCGCAGCCCCGAGGTCCCGCCCGTGGCGTCACTGTGCTGGGCCCCCCAGCAGGCCTCGAAAGTGGCGGCAGGCAGCCCCCCAGGGATGGCGAGGTCTAACTTAAATCCGCCCGTGGCGTCGCTGTGCTGGGCCCCCCAGCAGGCCTCGAAAGTGGCGACAGTTTCACAGATCGCAGCCCCCCAGGGGTGGCGAGGTCTAATTTGAATCGTGGCGTCACTGTGCTGGGCCCCCCAGCAGGCCTCGAAAGTGGCGACAGTTTCACAGATCGCAGCCCCCCAGGGATGGCGAGGTCTAATTTGGGTCCGCGCGTGGCGTCACTGTGCTGGGCCCCCCAGCAGGCCTCGAAAGTGGCGACAGTTTCACAGATCGCAGCCCCCCAGGGATGGCGAGGTCTAATTTGGGTCCGCGCGTGGCGTCACTGTGCTGGGCCCCCCAGCAGGCCTCGAAAGTGGCGACAGTTTCACAGATCGCAGCCCCCCAGGGATGGCGAGGTCTAATTTGAATCTGCGCGTGGCCCTCACTGTGCTGGGCCCCCCAGCAGGCCTCGAAAGTGGCGACAGTTTCACAGATCGCAGCCCCCCAGGGATGGCGAGGTCTAATTTGAATCCGCCCGTGGCGTCACTGTGCTGGGCCCCCCAGCAGGCCTCGAAAGTGGCGACAGTTTCACAGATCGCAGCCCCCCAGGGATGGCGAGGTCTAGTTTGAATCTGCGCGTGGCGTCACTGTGCTGGGCCCCCCAGCAGGCCTCGAAAGTGGCGACAGTTTCACAGATCGCAGCCCCCCAGGGATGGCGAGGTCTGATTTGGGTCCGCCCGTGGCGTCGCTGTGCTGGGCCCCCCAGCAGGCCTCGAAAATGGCGAGGTCTAATTTGAATCCGCGTGTGGCTCTCACTGTGCTGGGCCCCCCAGCAGGCCTCGAAAATGGCGGCAGTTTCACAGATCGCAGCCCCCCAGGGATGGCGAGGTCTAATTTGAATCCGCGCGTCGCCCTCACTGTGCTGGGCCCCCCAGCAGGCCTCGAAAATGGCGACAGTTTCACAGATCGCAGCCCCCCAGGGATGGCGAGGTCTAATTTGAATCTGCGCGTCGCCCTCACTGTGCTGGGCCCCCCAGCAGGCCTCGAAAATGGCGACAGTTTCACAGATCGCAGCCCCCCAGGGATGGCGAGGTCTAATTTGAATCTGCGCGTCGCCCTCACTGTGCTGAGCCCCCCAGCAGGCCTCGAAAATGGCGACAGTTTCACAGATCGCAGCCCCCCAGGGATGGCGAGGTCTAATTTGAATCTGCGCGTGCCCTCACTGTGCTGGGCCCCCCAGCAGGCCTCGAAAATGGCGACAGTTTCACAGATCGCAGCCCCCCAGGGATGGCGAGGTCTAATTTGAATCTGCGCGTCGCCCTCACTGTGCTGAGCCCCCCAGCAGGCCTCGAAAATGGCGACAGTTTCACAGATCGCAGCCCCCCCAGGGATGGCGAGGTCTAATTTGAATCTGCGCGTCGCCCTCACTGTGCTGGGCCCCCCAGCAGGCCTCGAAAATGGCGACAGTTTCACAGATCGCAACCCCCCCAGGGATGGCGAGGTCTAATTTGAATCTGCGCGTCGCCCTCACTTTGCTGGGCCCCCCAGCAGGCCTCGAAAATGGCGACAGTTTCACAGATCGCAGCCCCCCGCAGGCAAGACAGGAAGAGGCAGGGAGGGAGGGAGGAGGAGGAAGGAAGGAGTGGAGACCACACTGCTCTATTCAAAACGAATACCCAACCAAGGAGGGTTGGGAAATATTCCCAATATTTTCCCAGATGTTTTGGGTTTTTGTCTTCCCCCCACTTCCCATATTTTTGCATATTTCCCTTGGAGTCGACGATTAATTGTGTCTGTGTGTTTCTTTCCCTCCTGACTCCCATCCTACACAAGGGGGATGCAAAGCCCATGAGGACGGGGCGGGGTGGACACGAGTGGGCCTCGTAGCCAGCCCAGGATCAAAAGAGGCATCACAGCCTGACGAATGATACTTCTCAGTGGCATTCGGTTCGCGGATGCGCGGCAGCATGCTCTCCCCTCGCGTCGCGCAGATCATGACGACGGCAAACTTGAGGACGACTTTTTCAGCCCCCAGAAAGCCCGTTGGAACCCCTGGCCTCCCCAGGGGGATCAGGACCGTGGACAGAAAGATCGACTCAGTGTGAGAATATGGTCCCAGGGAAGGGGCCCGGAACTTCGAGGGTCCAAGTCTGGCAGAAGAGAAGCACTACATACACAGAAACTGTTGGCGCTCCGCGCGGATTTCGTGGATCTGTGCTGGACCTCCCTCCCTGGCGCGCGGAGCGTGCCAGGGGCGGCGCCAGAGGCGCCGCCAGGGGGACCTAGCGTGGATCCAAGAAATCCGCGCGGAGCGCCAAATGTCTATGTTTACGGTGTGTGTGTGTGAGAGAGAGAGAGAGAGAGAGATTTGTTCCCCGAGGCGCGCGTCCGACCCAAACATACAGTACACCCATCTTGTAGTACAGTGTTTCCCGAGCGGTGTGGCCAGAAAGCGTCCGCCACGACGCATCTACTGCAAGATTGCTCGCTGCGCGCATCGCCCTTGGCGGGGCGACGCACACATAGTATACGTATGTTTTACCAGCCTGGAACATATCCCTATCCCTATGCTGGGCACCTCCTCATCACGATGCCAATCTTAGGGATTCCCTTATTTTTCGAGGGCGAATCCCTAAGATTGTCATCGCTTTTTGGCGTGTCAATCTTAGGGATAAGGATACGTTCGAGGCTGGTAAATGTTGGGGTGACGCCGATGAACCGACCGCGACGACGTCGGGGGCCGGGGCGCCACGCGCAGGCACAGCTCACGGCCAGGTGCTCCCTATGGAGGGCCCGGCATCGGCGTGCACGCCCTCCGGCCCCGGACCGCCGACTCTCTGCAGTGAGCGGCCCCAAGAGGGTCCCGACCCCTTCCCTGGGCATATCCTCTTGCACGGCCGTGTTCTGGAGCTCGGACCTCTGCATTTTCGTTCGTCGTCGTCGTCGTTCGTCGTTCGTCTTCCCCACCCGGCGCCACAGAAGGGAGCTCCTGGAGGAAGGAGCCGAAAGCCTCCTGTCCCTCGCAGCTCCTTGGTGCAAGGACCAGGGCACGCGGCACGCGTGCCACTTGTTTAGTCAACGTTTTCTGATTAGGGGTTTCGGCATTGGGCGGAAGAGGAAGGGGGAGGGGGGGTCTGTCTCCGGACCGCTGCTTGGTGCGACTGCTTGCAGCAGTGCGCCCTATGGGGGTGACTCCACCTGCTTGAAGCGGTCGCCACAAACAGCCAAGACCTACTCCAGAGGGTGGGGGGGCGGGGAGGTGCGAGGACCCGCGCCGGTCGGCAAAACAATGAATAGGAAGCCGATGTTTTCGATTGCCCCGGGGCACGATGACAGGCCCCGGAGCCAGAACAAGACACAGTTTTCTCGTGCAAACTGTACTGTACGGAGGTTGGGTGGGGCAGGATGGTGGCGGCGCTCTCTCTCTCCTCAAGTGTGGAGGCAAACGCGTCCAATAATTAACCGTACAGGCCCAAGGCGCTCAGCCAGACCGAGGTTGGTTCCGGTTGGGCCCAGGTTCGGCGACTCCTCCAGGGGGCCAAGAGGAGCACGCCGCAAATAGACGACTTTTCACATTCGTCGCAGCGTCGGATGTCGGGGGTTGGCGTTCCCTTCCATGTGTTCTTCCTTCCTAGCGCCACTTTGGTGAGGGGCAACGACAGGGGGGGATAGGCACAGGGGGGGAGGCATCGACCTGGAATCGGCGATGCGTCGCCGATAGATCGGCGATAGGCCTCTGATAGTGAATCCGCACCTTCCTGGGCAGGTTGGGGCTATCGGGCTCCTATCGGCGATTTCATTGGGCGATGGGGGGTCGATGCGTCCCCCCCCTAGGTCCATCCCCCCCCTATCCTTGCCCCTGATGTGGACAGGCCTCTCAGGTCGAGCGGGTGGTACAGAGGCCACGGCAGGAGCGGCGCCCGCTCTGGCCTCAGCCACCTCCGTCGAGCGAGACGCGAGAGGGGGCGGCGGCACAGGCCCCTCGCACCGCTCCGGCCACGGAGCACTCCAGGGGCCCAAGGACACACAAATAAAGTACACACAAATAACCGGATCCCCCATACTGTCCCATATTTTCCGGGTTTTTGTCTTCCCCCCTTTGCCCCTATGTTTCTCCTATGTTATGGGGAGTCGACGAGTGATTGTTGTGTCTGCGTGTTTTTTCCTTCCTGCAACACCTGCGCAGAGACACGCGGAGGCCCACAGAGAGCGGAGGGCCCGCAGACTCCTTGAGACCTCCCCAGAGCTCAAGAGTTCAGGTTTCGGGCGGGTGGTACTGGTGGGTGGTCCAACATGGGGGCGAAGAGAAGGGCCCCGAATGGGGCCCTTCGGGGCCCCTCTGGGGCACCAACTGACACCCAAAGGGGCTCTGCATGGCCCCTGTGGGGCCCCTTTCTTCACCCCCGATGGAGGTCACCCACCATTGCCACCCGCCCGAAGCTTGGCGTTCCCTGGGCCTTGCCGGCGGCGTCGCGGACCTCGAGGAGCTGCTGCTCGTCGTCGGGGTCGGCGCCGATCGGGAAGGCGAAGTGCCGCAGAGGGACTGGCCGCCCGCGCTTCTGGACCGTGTGCACGGGCCTGCCCTTGACCTGGACGCCTCGAAGATGGGGTCCGAGTAGATGGGGTCGAAGCATCGCGCCGCATCGCCCACGCATCGCCGATGCATCGGCCATGCACCGGCGACGCCGACGGTGCATCGGCGACGCCGGCGTGAGGAAACACCGGCGCCGCGTGGAGCCGCATCGCGGATGCATCGGCGGTGCGGCGCGAGCCTCCGACCCCATCTACTCGTACCCCATCTAGGAGGCCAAGATGGACCTGGCACAACCACCCTGCTAAGAAGATCGGGTTGGCCACGGGAAGAAGAAGAAACACGCTGCATGCTCATAAACTTGCGGAACGCCTTGCGAATGTCTCGGCTCGGCGATGGACCCCCCGGACGGCGGGTTCCGGACGCTCTGGAGGGAAGTGCAACGCCGATCCTGGAAGTCTCCGCGGGGCTCCGAAAGAACATCTATGTTTATGCAGTGCTCTCTTCTTCGAATGGTGGCCGACAGGCAGACGATGGACACACCCGGTGCTAGCAGGACAATGCTCTCCTCCCACGCGGGGCCCCTCTCGGAGTCGCTGAGGTAGTGCACCTCGTCGAAGATGATCGTCCGCAGCCTGGTGGAGAACTCTGCGTCCACGTGCAACAGGCACCTGACGATCTCTGTCGTGGCGACCAGGATGGGGCTGGACGGTGAGATGCTGTGGTCACCGGTCATCAGGCCCACCTTGCCTGGAAACCGGCGGTGGAACTCCGAGAACATCTGGTTGCTGAGGGCCTGGGCTGGCTCAGTCAGCATCGGATCGGGACGCCTGGTCGAATGGGAACTTGAGTCGGGTCGGGCTGCATCGGCACGGAGCCGAAATTGAATCGGATCGGCCGCAACAAGATGAACAACGCCGCCTTGCAAAAACCGAGCCGCAACAGATCGCTGGAACATCTTTGAACGCCCGAACTGAGTACGGGACTAATGGACACGATGCCAAACAGCAAACTTTGCCGAAAGCCGACAGCGACCGTTGCCTGAAAAGGACCACATCCGCGGCGACACCGACAGCGAGCCTGGGTCAAAATGGGCAGGAACTGGTGTAGGCCTTCGTCACCCTCCATTCTGTACCCAGTTCACGGAGGGCGAGTTCAGACAAGGGCAACACAAAATCGGTCCCCAGACCCCTCCTGCCCCTACGGTCCACGCACCGGTTTCCCGAGCTGCGTCCAGCCTTGATGACGAGGTGCCACCCTTGATGCCAACAACCGTTGTCTCAACTGGCCCTCCTTTCAACTTCGGTCGTAGTTAATCAGTCCGAACCGAAACGGATCGAACCCAGCGAATTCCAGATCGAACCAAATCGATCGAGTCGGAACAAGCCCTGCCTTGATCGGCGCGCAGAACACGGCGCGCGCCTCTGGGTCCCGGAGCGCGGCCTCCAGCGCCGAGATCGCCACGGTGGTCTTTCCAGACGAGGTCGGCGCGGAGACGACCACGCTCTCGCTCCTCTGACGGGAAACGGCCATCGGCACACAGTCGGGGCGCTGACCTAAGGAACCCCAAAATAAGGAACGAGGCCCCTTTTTGTTCCAGGAGTGGAACTTCGACTTCGTCTCGAAAACCTGGGGGAAACCCGAGGCAAGCTGCGAAACACTCAAGGAGCGCGGAGCCCCTCCCCAACGAAAAGGGTTCCTGCGGCAGGGCCCCGACGGTGCAGCCGTCATGAGCGAGGAACCAAAAAAAAAAGCTGCTCTCGCCACGGTGCGCTGTTCTCGGCCACGAGTGGGCTCCCCGACCTCTGGAGCTGCGGAGCGGCCCGCAGACCAGCACCCCCCCCCCCAGAGCCCAGAGTTCGGGTCGGGCGAAAGGGGGGGATAGCAACGGGGGGGGGGTTTGAGAATCAGCTCACGCCACTGATTTTCACGGCGCCTCCCGGCGCCGGAAGCGGCCACGTATCGAGGTATGGGCCCCTCGGTGAGGCCGCAACCGGCTGCATGCAGCACATTTCGTACCGCCCCCTTTCCCAATCCCCCCCTTTCGCCCGGCCCGAAAAGTGGTTCTGATGTCAGCGCCTGGTCTGTACTTCTTCGGGGGCGCGCAGACGTGGATTCACGATCCGTGGATTCGCCGCGCCCGAAAAGGAAACGGGGCCCGTCGCGAATCCACGCCCCCTTGATCCATGTTTGCGATCGCCTGACTTTTGTGAAGGGGCCCTGGGACACACAAATAGATACACACAAATAACAGGATCCCTGATATTTTCCAATATTTTATGGGTTTTTGTCTTCCCCCCCAATTCCCATATTTTCCAATATTTTCTGGGGAATCGTTGATGAATTGTGTCTGTGTGTTTTTTTCCCTCCTGATTTTGTTGCCGAGGGAGGAGGGCCACACCACTGACCTGCACACGTCCCGGCCTGGACTGCAATACGAGCTCGAAAGCCGCCCGACGCGAAGCAAAAGGCTGCCTGGTGCGAGTCAAAAGGTCGTCTGCCGTCGGTATAAGCCAGGGCTGAACCTAAACGGTGTTCTCCGTTTTCGTTTTGCTTTCGTTTTCCCTCGCTTTTGTCTCGAATCTGCCTTCACCGCAAAACGACATCGAAACGAAAACGGCCAACGAAATCACCCCAAACACCGTTTAGGTCCAGCCCTGGTATAAGCCTACACTGACCAGGGGCTCCGCGCGGGCTTCCTGGGACGGCGCTGAGCCCCGCTCCCCCAACGCGCGGATGGCGCCCTGGCGGGCTCCAGCTCCGACCGCACAAGTCCGCTCGGGCCTCTGGGAAGCCTGTGCTCGTGATGTTGCTGCCCACCGCTCCGCAGCAGCGCGTCCCGTGCGATCTGCTGGTACTCGTCCAGCTGGTACCTCGGGGGCGGCCAAGAGGGGGGCGTCCGAGAGGGGGGGGGCGCACATCACGGCCGGCGCCATGTAGGAGGAGGAGGAGGAGGAGGAGGAGGAGGAGGAGGAGGAGGAGGAGGAGGAGGAGGAGGAGGAGGAGGCGCAATGAAACCTGGGGAAGAGCGCGGCCCCCGCCATGATGTCCACACCCCGCCTAGTCATCACCCCCCTCTTGGCAAACACCCGAGGTGCCCGAAGTCCGGGTCCTCCGAAGAGGGGGGCCGGGAACGGGGCGGGGTCAGCGCGCAGCACGGCCCGAGAGGCACGCGCGCGGACGAGGGGGGGGGGCCAACCCTGACCTTCCAGGAGGGCTAAAAAAAAGTACCCGACGTAAAAACCTATCCCAAAGCTACTCTACGTCTTGGTTTTAGGCTGTTTCGTTAAGTTTTTCAGGTTTTCAGGCCTCCAGTGCTAAAACATAGCTCTCTGGAAGGTCAGGGAAGGAGCGAGCGGAACGAAGCGAGCGGGCCATGACATCTGCCACCCAGACTTCGTAAGTCGAGGGAGGGGGCCACAACCCACCCGGCCGAGGAGTCTTAGACCCCCCAAGGCCATCCAGGGAAGGGCGGCCCTTTGCCCAGACCCCCCCGTAGAATCCAAGACAGCTCAAATCAGACCCCCCCCCCGCCCCCCAACTGTGACCCCCTCCACTCTGCTATGGATTCCAGAGTAGTCTACGGCCCGCGTGCCTTCCCCCCCACCCAGCGCAGCGCTTCGTGGCCCCATAGGGAGCTCCACCGAAGCTCCCGGTGCGACAACGGGTGGGGGGGGGGCAAGGAGCGCGCAGACAGAAGCGAGCAGGCCATGAGATCTAAGCTATTCGTCGTGGCCTTGGCCAGGATATCCACATACACGCACAAGAGCGAGAGAGGCTGGCGGACGGCTGCGTGAGCGCCACCCGCCTCACGATTCTGCTCCACAAGGGCCCCACGGGCTCCAGGCACGGTGCGCGGACGAGGGGGGGGGAGGAAGCGGGAGATGGGGGCCAAGGAGCGCGCCGAAGGAGGCAGAGTGAAGAAGGGGCCCTGGTGCACGCAAATAAGCAGACACAGAGAACAAGACTCCCCATCGTTTCCCGTCTGTTCTGGGTGTTTGTCTTCCCCCCGGCTTCCCATATTTTCCTACAGTTTCGGGGGAATCGACGATCAATTGAGGCTGTGCGTGTTTTCCTCCTGAAGAGGGGGGGGGGGGGGGGCGCATCTGAGAACATCATGCCCCAAACCATGATATCCACAGCCCTGGTCCTCCCCTTAGGAAGAGGATGGTTCGCACACCATGGCCCGAGGCATGTGCGCGGACGAGGAGGGGGAGGGGGCAGGGAACGCGTTAAGAAGGAAGAGGGCCTCTGCTGGCAAGCACTCCGAGGAACAACAAAAAACGCCTTCCAGAATCAGCGAAACTTCCGACCCCCCGCCCCCTTCGACAACGAATTCGCCCGCCCCCCCTCTCGAACACCCCGCCTGGACGTTCCTGGCCACCTCAGTGCCCCCTGGACAAGGGAAGACACTGCTGTTTACCCAATCTCTGAAAACTTTGCTCTTGAGAGCGAGAAGCTGAAAGCAACTGCACCAGAACAGAAACATGCGCCAGAGTCTGCAAAGCAACATGACGCGCAACAGAAACAACGACGGAACCAGAGCACTTTTTGAGTCGGCGGCCAAGCAATGGGTCGCCTGCGCTCTGCGCCGGCGGAAGGAGCTACCTGAACGGGGACACCGCTGTAGCGAATGGGCCAGAAAACAACACGGCGACAGAGCCGAAGCAAACAAGAACGGACGAACGGAACCGGAACAACAAAAACGCGGCCCCGTCGTTTCTCGGGCCCCTCGGGTCCACACCGCGCCCCTCGCCTGCGCCCCCGGGTGGGGCGGCGTGAGCGTGGCCGCCTTCCAAGACGGCGGAGGGCTTCCCAGAGGAGGCCACAGGCGAACCTACCCCACCACCCCATGAGGTCTACCGGGGGGGTCACTTCGCTCGGGACCTCCCGAGCGAAGGGAAACCCAACTCTGCCCCCTTGGAGATCGTGGGGTGGTGGGGTGGGGTTCGTCCCGAGTGAAGTGAAACCCAACTCCCCCCTTGGAAATCGTGAGGGCGGCGGTGTATAAAGTCGCTGTTTCTGAATTGTGACTTACTAACCTCCCTCCCCTAAGATCCGACACTTTGAACAAATTGCAACATCGTAGAGAATCACGGCCAGAATTCCGGACCCCATCTTTCTGCGCTACTTCTCGAGCCGGCTCGATCTGTGAGGGTCCGGGCCCGAAACAACGCGACACTGCCCGGCTCGAAAAAATGGAGGCTCCAGGATCTCGGTGGGCACTGACGGCTCAGCGTCCCTAGATAGCCCTAGAATGCCTGCAAGATGACGCAAGACGACCCAATGTACACAAGATGGGCTGCAGCGTGCCCCCAAGCTGCCCTCAGAAGGCACCGGTGTGGCTCTGAAATGGCACCCCATCCTCCCGAAACGGTGTTCGGAGCTTCTCGTGGCTTCCGATGGGCCTCTCAAGCCTCAGGGCCCCTCTGCGCGTGGCTGGAAGCCCAGACCACGACGTCGACAGTAGTTTTGTATCCTGCATTGTTTTTTGACGGCCCCGAGGCCCGGGAAGGGCCCCCGGGGGCCGAAAAAGGCGACAAGCCTTCCGTCGTGATTTTTGTCGCAGCGCGAGGGGGTCGTGGATCAGGTCGGGCGTGCCCTCATTCTGGACGCAAGATACAAGCTACTCGATCAAGATAGTCCCACATGGTCAAAAATAGTCGAGACATCGTCCTGTGAGGTCCTCGCCCCCCCTCCCCCCCTGACCTTCCAGAGAGCTATTTTTTAGCACTGGAGACCTAAAAACCTAAAAAACGAGACGAAACAGCCTAAAACCAAAACGTAGAATAGCTCTGGGATAGGTTTTTAAGTCGCGTGCTATTTTTTAGCCCTCCTGGAAGGTCAGGGCCCCACTCCCCTTCGGGCGCCCCCGAGGAGTCCGCTTCCCCGCCCGCCGCCAGGCAGCCGCCCCGCCGGGGCGGGGGGTCGTACTGCGGCCGCACGGCGCAGTGCACCTCCCAGCGGCGGCGGCGGCGGCGCCGCCGCCGCCGCCGCCGCCGCCGACGACGACGACGACGACGACGACGACGTCGTCTCCGGCGGTGCGCCCATCGCGACCCCCGGCGTGCAAAACAATCGCAACGCCAGGACCTCTAGGTGTTTTTTTTCCCCTTCTCTGGCCCCTATACGAAGACGAAGCCAGGACGCGGACAGAGTCGGGTTGGAAATGATTGAGAAACTGTGAAGTCGGACGGTTCTGGAGGATGTATCGGGCGTCGCGGCCTTCTCAGAGCGTTCCTGAACGCTCTGAGAGCGTTCTGGAACGCCATGGGACACCTGCATCCTCGTCCTAGCCCCGCCCGGCTCAACCCTCGGGGGGGGGGGCGGTTCCTTTTGTGCCCAATTCGCTTTCGAAGTGCCCCTTCCGTTGCTCGACTGGCGTCTGACCCCTCCCGCGCCTGCTGCCACGGGGGGGAGTGGCAATCGTCCCCGTCAGGAAAAAAGGGGGGGAAACAAATGCCTGCTGACCAACAAGTTTTTGGGAGGGATCGGCCCCTGTGTGGGGGGGGGCGTTCCAAGGCAGCTTCGATAGTTTGGGTGGGAAGGGCGCTGAGCAGCGCGGCGCCCTCTCAGGAGTCGTCCCCTTGTCAGCAGCTGCTCGCGACCAGTCTCCCCCCGACGACATCGATCCTGGCTCCATTCCGAGATCGAGATCGGAGAAGAACATCATCGGGGAAGAGGAAGAGGACGAGGAGGTGGAAGAGGAGCAGGAGGTGGAGGAACACCCCCCCAGCGTCCATCCCGGCTCGATCTCCGAGCTCCCGGAGTGCAGCAGAGATCGAAAACGATGCGTCGTCGTCCACTATGACGTCGTCGTCGAGAACGAACGAGTCCGACATCGACGTTGTCGTCGTCGTCGTCGTCGTCGTCGTCGTCGTCGTCGTCGTCGTCGTCGTCGTCGTCGTCGTCGTCGTCGTCGTCGTCTTCGTCGTTCTCTTACGCAAGAGGATTGTGGAGTATGCGGTCTGTCACACGAGGCGTGCTGGCGTTCGCGCCTCATGGGCTCCTCTTCTTCTTCATCCTCCTCCGCCGTATCCTCATCCTATGTTCGCATAATCGCTAGCAGATGAAAGTTGTGTGGAAGATACCTTCACTATCTGCGGATCTCTAGGAAAACCGCCAACCGACGGAACAAATACCCCCGAGCATGGGTTTCGACATTCCATATCCATTGCCAGCACGCGTGGGCTTGGAATTTCGGGGGCCACGCTCGGGGGGGGGGGCATGCTTCGGGCTTGTTTCGATTGTCTGAGGGTGTCTTGGTGGTGAAGCTGCGCATTGTTGCACAGCCTGCGGAAGCTCAGCCCTGACAAAGATCTGCTACACCTTGCTGAGCCCGGGCAAACCCTGGTCAGCCCCAAAGCCTGGAATGGCTTTGCCATGCCTTGCTCAGCCATGGTAGCCCCTGCTGAGTCTTGCAAAGCCTTTTGTAAGCCTTGGTCAGACTTACAACTCTCTGCTCAGGCCTGCTAAGATATGCAAAGTTCTGCTCAGCCTTGCTAAGCCTTGCCCGGCCTGGGCAAGCTTGGTTAGGCTCTGCTAAAACTTGCTGAGCCTCGCACAGCCTTGGGAAGATTTGCTCAGCCCTGCTAATCCTTGTGAAGCCTTGAGCTCTGCTTGGCTTTGTTGAGCCCTGCGTGACCCTGCCAGCGCTAAGTCGATTTTACTAAACAGTGATATGTCCTGCTACGCCCTAGTAAGGCCTGCTCAACCCCTTCTGGGGTCTACTAGCCACTGCTAGATCCTGGCACGCCCTGCTGAAACCTGAGATGGTTAGAGATCTCCTGTTTCACTCTGCTTAGTCGCCCCAAGCCTGGCAAGCTTTGCTGAGCCTTGCCCAGCCTTTGCTAGCTTTGCTAAGCCCTGCTAGGCCTTGCTGAGCCCTGGCGAACCCTGGTCAGCCCCAAAGCCTGGAATGGCTTTGCCATGCCTTGCTCAGCCATGGTAGCCCCTGCTGAGTCTTGCAAAGCCAGACTTACAACTCTCTGCTCAGGCCTGCTAAGATATGCAAAGTTCTGCTCAGCCTTGCTAAGCCTTGTCCAGCCTTGGCAAGCTTGGTTAGGCTCTGCTAAAACTTCCTGAGCCTTGCACAGTCTTGGGAAGCTTGGCTCAACCCTGCTAATCCTGGCACTGCAAAGTCCTGGCACGCCCTGCAGAAACCTGGGATGGTTAGAGATCCCCTGTTTCACTCTGCTTAGTCGCCCCAAGCCTGGCAAGCCTTGCTAAGCCTTGCCCAGCCTTGGCTAGCTTTGCTAAGCCCTGCTAGGCCTAAGTCAGGCACGGCCTGCTGAAACCTGGGATGTTTCAAAATCCCCTGTTTAGCTTTGCTTAGTCGCCCCAAGCCTGGCAAGCCTTGCTAAGCCTTGCCCAGCCTTGGCTAGCTTTGCTAAGCCCTGCTAGGCCTTGCTGAGCGCTGGCAAACCCTGGCCAGCCCCAAAGCCTGGAAAGGCGTTACCATGCCTTGCTCAGCCATGGTAGCCCCTGCTGAGCCTTGCAAAGCCTGACTTACAACTCTCTGCTCAGGCCTGCTAAGATCTGCGAAGTTCTGCTCAGCCTTGCTAAGCCTTGTCCAGCCTTGGCAAGCTTGGTTATGCTCTGCTAACACTTCCTGAGCCTTGCACAGTCTTGGGAAGCTGTGCTCAGCCCTGCTAATCCTTTTGAAGCCTTGAGCTCTGCTGGGCTTTGTTGAGCCCTGCTTGACCCTGCCAGCGCTAGGTCGATTCTACTAAACAGTGATCTGTCCTGCTACGCCCTGCTGAAACCTGGGCTTAGTCGTCCCCAGCCTGGCAAGCCTTGCTAAGCCTTGCCCAGCCTTGGCTAGCTTTGCTAAGACCTGCTCGGCCTTGCTGAGTCTTGCTCTGCCTCGACAAGCGTTGACAAACTCTGCTGAACCTTGCAAGGCCTCACTCAGCCTTGGCAAGCTTTGGCGAGCCGTGCTGCTCCGTACGAAGCCTGAGGGCCTGCGAGGCTTCCCCGAGAGCTGCTTCGCCTTTTGCTAAAAACTGGAAAGTCTTGCGAATCCTTGGTAAACACTGCGAAGCCCCGGCTAGCCCTGTCAAGCCCGACTGAGGCCTGCCAGCCACTGCTATGTCCTGGCGAGCTCTGCGCAGCCTTGCGAAGTCCTGGTATGCCTTGCCAAGCCCTGGAAAGTTTTGCTATGCCCTGCTGAGCTCCGCTGAGCCTTGCTCAGCTGGTTAAACCTTGCGCGGCCCAACTACGCTTGGCAAGCCTGGCTCTGCCTGCGAAGCGTTGATGAGCATTGCTTAGCCTTGGCAAGCTTTGATGGACCCTGCTGTTCCATACGAAGCCTTAACCCTTGCCGAGCGTTGCTGAACCCTGGTAAGCCTTGCTAAAGTCTGGTCTGCCGTGCTCGGCCTTCGTAAGCCCATAGCAAGCCCTCGTAAGCCCATATCCGGTCTCGGCAAGCCTTGCTAAGCCCTGCCGAGCTTGTTAAAACACTGCGAGAGCCCTGGTAAGCTCTGCACAGCCCTGCTACATCCTGGCACGCCCTGCTGAGCGCTGCTAGCCACTGCGAAGCCCCGACGAGCCTTGCAGAGCCCTGCTACATCTGCGTTCGCAGAGCCCTCGCAAGCTTTCCTCAGCCCAGCTAAGCCCTGGTGGGCCTTGCTAATACGTGGTAAATCCTGGTAGGCCAGTCAGCATGGATCAACCGGGCCACGCTCTGCTCAGCCCCGGCAAGCTCTGCGAAGACCTGATTTGCCTTATTCCGCTTAATGCGTGGTCCCTGGCAAGCAGTCATTCGTGCGGATGCCTGGGCCAAGCTAGCCTACGGAAGGATACGCGTTTGACCGTTCGTCTGTAAGGGTGCCAGTGTCAAGGCATGGTTAGTAAGGACCCATTGGGTGAATAATCCTTTGTATGATGTCTTTAGAAAAAAATCCCCTCAGAAAAGGACCCCTGCGGCAACAACGCGAACACCCCGGAGTAGGGAGGGGAAGGGGGTGTCGTAGACCGAGGCGGGAGGAAGAGGAGGGAAGAGGACGAGGAGGGGGATGGGGTGGCAGAGCGAGGGGGGGGTGGTCGAGGGAGTGCGCTTCCCGCCCCCGCCCCCCCAAACAAAAAAAACAGTTTAGCCTGGCGAAAGACCAACCATGCGCATCTGTGAATACCGCAGTTGAGCCCCCTTGTAAGGCCACGGGGCGCCTCACTGAGTGGGGGAGACGCATGCGGACGGCGCCACTCCGGTGGAGACCACCATTGGGCCACGAAGCGCTATACTGGGTGGGCGAGGCGCAAACAGGCTGCGCCACTGAGCCCTTCGGTGGAGCTCCATAAAGGGGCCAGTCAACTATATTTTCGCTGAGGACGGGCTGCGCAATTGAGACCATCCGTGGGGTTCCTTGTGGGGCCCCGGGGAGCGGTACTGGGTGGGGGGGACGCATGCGGGCCCCCCCACTGGTGACTTCGGTGGCGCTCCTTATGGGGCCACGAAGCACGGTTCTGGGTGTGGCAGGCGCATGCGGGCTGCGCCGCTGGGACCTTAGATGGAGCTCCCCATGGGGCCACGAAGCGCTGTGTTGGATGTGGCGGGCGCATGCGGGCACCCCCCACTGGGGCCTTCGGTGGAGCTCCCGCTGGGGGCACGAAGCACTGTACTGGTTGTGGCGGGCGCGTGCGCGCCCCCCCACTGGGGCCTTCGGTGGAGCTCCCTATGGGGTCACGAAGCGCCGTGCTGGGTGTGGCGGGCGCGTGCGGGCATCCCTCACTGGGCCTTCGGTGCAGCTCCAAATGGGGCTACGAAGCGCTGCACTGGCTGTGGCGGGCTCATGCGGGCCCCCCACTGGGGCCTTCGGTGGAGCCCCCAATGGGCCCACGAAGCGCTGTGCTGGGTGTGGCAGAAGACGCATGCGGGCACCCCCACTGGGTGGAGCTCCCTATGGGCAACGAAACGCCGTACTGGGTGTGGCGGACGCATGCGGTTTCACTGGGGCCT